CCCATAGTTGGCATGGGAAACAGCCAGACCAGCCAGTTAAACACATAAGAAAAAGGTGCCCACATGGCGACTCTCACCCGATCGACCCGCGTTCGCAAAGGCCTAAACAGACCAGGGCTCAGCTCCAGGTAGAGTCAGGAGGTCTTCCCTGAACCAGGAAGCTCTGTGGAGTGCACTCCACAGACAGACACTCCTGACTCCCTGCAAGTGGTCCCAGCTTTTATCCCCAAGCGGGGCCACCTGACCTTTGTCAACTCAGTGCGGGACCCCTGGGGCTCATTTCCCTTATGTCTCTCCCTGCAGGGCCGGCCGCACCCTGGGGGGCAGCTATAAGGCAAACTCACCTCCTCTGTATGAAGGGCTGTGGGAATCACCCATATGTCAACCTTAATTCGGGGGCTCGGGGTTCAAACCCCAGCATTTCAGCTACCCCATTGCGTCTCTAATTCTAGTGACATCATAGCTCAGCAGCTGTGCGTAGGTTGGCGGTTCTTACTGTTTGCATCACGGGCTGTATATGTTTGTACACAGGGCTTCAGATGTACTCCTGTCTGCCCTACTTTCAAAGGGGGTGAGAAAACCTCCTCTGGAACCCTCTCCAATATGTGCTGCCTCATTCTCTGTTCTTCCACTTACCTGAAGGCTTTGGTTTCTGTTCCCTGGTGAACCTAGTTTAAAACTCTTCTCACTAGGCTGGCAAGTCTTGGCAAAAATACTCTTGACCTCCTTTGTCAGGTAGATCCTGTTTCTCCCCAGAAGTCCTCATTCCTCTGAGGAGCCCATGTTAACAAAGCCCCTAATGCTTTGCTGCTGTTAGCAGGCCTGCTGGAAGGTGGTGATCTGCAGGTGCCTCTGCTTCTGGCTTTCCCCTTGACTGGCAGGATCAAGAAGGCTACTGCACTAACTCTTGTTCACTTCATACAGGGAATTAAAAATCTTCCTTGGTTGTGCTGTCGGGGTCAATGGGGATGGTGTGAACAGGTGTAGGTTGTGAGCCAAGCATTTTGCAGATACATTTTTTACCTAATGGTGAAGTTGTTTCTCGGCAGTGACAACTGAAATAAACGATTCCTTTTTGAAAGGCGTGTAGCTGCATTGCTTTAACTCACCAGCAGTTAGGACTTCCATTGAGACTCACAGTGCTTTGTCAAAAAAGGACTTTGAAGGCCCATACTAACTAAATTGGTGCTGATCACAACTGTGTACAGACATGAAAAATGTACTTTGTGCTACTGAATCATAGTTAAAATCTGTCTTCCCGTGTTACCTGTACTTAGTACAGTGCTGAAGAGGCTCTGTCCTGTTCTGCATTACTTCCACAGTTGTGTTCAGCATCTGGGTCGCTGATGTAGTACTTCACAGATGTCTTAATAGCAAGCTGGAACTTGGTAGTGAAGAATAAGGGCTGAGGAGTCTAACTTCCACATTCTGACCAGTTCTTGATCTAACTGTGTGTGCTTGTTGGTGCTAGTTAATGTTGAGCATGTGACCATGGGAGATGCCTGAGGGTTCCTGAAATAGTTTTCCATACAAACCACTGGACATGTTTTAAATAACAAAGTTGCTGCTTAGGCTATAGTCGTATTCAAACTACAGGTAGAAGAATCTGATTTGTTAGTAGTATCTTGAATTGCCCAGTACAAAAACTCGTGTATGAGGACAAGAGAAGATGAGATCTGTTGCATACTATATTCAAGAAACATTACAAAAGTTATGTTATGGGATTACATAGTCAAAACCACAAATCTGAAAAAATATAAACACTGGTCATCACCTCTGCAGTGAATGCTCATTGGTATGTTTATTGCAGCTTATTTCCCATATGATTTTACATGCAACATAATGGGTTCAGTAAGAAGGATGACACTTGCTACCTTACTTCCTTCATGTGATCCTATGCCTGAGTTGTTATACTTGAGTAAAACTGGTAATTCTCCTATGGTAGTGAGTTCTTATTCTGTCTATTACGATAATATTGAGGTGCCCCCTTAATTACAATATAGGAGGAAGAAGGGATTATTAGTTTGAAACAGTTACTGAAAGTATTAGACCAAACCTTGTCATTGTAAGTAATTTAGATGTCGTGATTTGGTACCTCACTCAAGGCACAGACTGTGACTTTTGTGATTTTGAAGTTTGACTTTAACTGAGGCTCAAGGAAAGTGGCTTCACAAGTGTCGAGTCTCATTTTAAGCTTGTAGCAGACAGTGGGAACCAGAGTCTTATACAGACTTCAGGCTAGAGCTGCAACTGTAACAGCTCTTTTTCTGTCTGAAGCTTTATGCTTTAATTCATGTTATATTTCGATATGCTTTCTGCTTGTAGTATTTGTACTAACTGTCATCTCTTCTCCCATGCTCACTTGCTCATCTCTCCTGCATCTCAGCCTCTTCGTTAGTCCAGCCTTGTTTTCACATAAACAAAAATATGAGAGGTACACTATTATGGTAAGATTAGCTTTGTAGCTTTTGGTGGAGGAATTATTATAGTGTGGTGCCTTTATTTGCCAAGAGGGTGGACTTACCCAGTGTGCTTGACCTAATCAGACTGTTTAGATGCAGTAACCTGATACTTCCTGGAAGCATCAGGCTTAATGTGCATGTATTACTTAGTGTAAAAAGAGCAGCTGGGAATGGACTTAGGCAGTTAAAGCAATTCAGCTGACCCAGACCCCTTCAGAGGGGCCCTGACAAAGAAGGGTGACTGGGAGCAGAGAACCTGTAGATGAGTTGTCCCAACAGCTGCATGGATTAGTAGTGTGTGATAAACTGTATAAATGAACCCTTAAGACTCCATTGTGCAGGCATCCATAGCCAGTTAGATGTAAATATGTAGATTAGCTGATCTCCTAATAGATGCAGAACACCTGAATTTGCTGCCATACGCTTTGTTCCAAATTTCCATCTTAGAGATTGTCTTCAGGGCTAATGTTTTAATGTAGGCTGTAGAGCTGTTTACCTTTATTCACATTCATTTTAATATCCAACTTGCATGTGGTTTTCATGATGAAGGATTTGAAGCTGTTTCATGACTGACTCATATTTAGAGGGTAGCAGCAACCCATCAAAGGGACACAGGATGCAGAATTGGAGCTAGCCAAAGATACTAAGCAGATAAATGTTTTACAGGGTTTTAAATGAGGATCTTGACACAACTGGAAATTAGAACCATAGTAGAAAGATAATGACAGTGACATTATGCTAAGGTTCCAGAACATGCTGTACTGATGCAAGAACGATGCTGTGTGCTTACAAGCTCGGAATAAAATAAACCAACTGTTGTAACAAGTAACACAACACCCATGTGGTCTGACCTAAGAACCATACATCCAGACCAGGAGAGCAATGCTGACTGTAACATTCCTGGTATAAAAATACAAAATACTTTTGTTTCTTTTAGTTGTTGTGTGTGGTAGTTATTAGTGGCATTGCTTGTATGTCAACATCAAATTATTAGAACTAGAGAGTACTGGATGTTAAGTAGACGGTACAAGACACTGTGACAAGACACTGATTATGGACCAGTTCTGCACTTGGCTGTTCCCCTCCAAAGCTGAAAGTCATTTGCAGGAACATGGGCACTACGATACATATGTAGTGACTTCTAAGCATCCTTATGAGAAGAGCCTGTGTTTTAGGGTAAAGAAGGGAGGGGACATAATTAGGAAGTATTTTGATGTGGCTTCTAAGAGTTTGTTTGTGTTTTTGTAAGATTTTGTGAATAAATGAATAATGGGAGGAACTTTGGATCTTCATTTGTATACTTTGGTCTCTTGTTTCTTCTAACAGGTGCTAGGCTCAGAAAGTGTATCTGCCTCATCTGTTCCCCCAAATTGCATCAGGTTTATGTTAGTTTGTGCCAACTAGCTTCTACACTATGTAAAAAAGAACTATATATTGTGTTTTAAAAAAATGTATTTTTGTATATTTTTCAACAAAAGAATTTTTTCATATTTTCTGTATATGAATACGTAAGCCCTTGATGCATTTAGGTAATCTTTCTTCAGGAATGTGTTCTTTCAGTGCAAGTTTAGAATGATGAAATGCATTGTAAATGTTATTCTCATCACCAGAGAAAAAAATAGAATTGAATATCCCATTTGGAAGGGGCCTACAATGTTCATTTAGTCCTACTGCCTGCCCACTTCAGGGCTGACCCAAAGTTAAGGCATGTTTTTAAAGAGTGCTGACCAAATGCCTGTGAAACACTGACAGACTTGGGACATCAACCACCTCTCAAGGAAGCCTGTTCTAGTATCTGACCACCCTCTCAGTAAAGAAATGCTTCCTAATGTTCAGTCTGAACCTCCCCTGGTACAGGTTGGAAGCATTCTCACACATCGTATCAACTGGATACCAGGGAGATCAGCACCTCTCTCTGCTTCCACTTCTCAAGAAGCTGTAGAGAGCAATGAGGTCACTGCTCAGCCTCTTTGGGCTAGACAAGCCCAAAGTTGTCAGCTGCTCCTCATAGGCCACTCCTTCCAGCCCTTTCACCAGCTTTGTTTCCCTCCTTTGGACACATTCAAGGACCTTGTTTTGCCAATGACCAGGCCCAACAAAAATGATACCACCACCAGCAGGAAGATGAACCAATGCACAGACTGTATTGTATACAAGAAGGACATTCCATGAATGATCGCTGGGGGTACAAACAAGTCAATCAGCTGGTACATAATTGACGCCACCCCCAACGATCCCAAAAAGGACGTAACTCGGCCCACAACAGGTGGTACAAACAGAGACCCGAGGTTGCCCACAGTTGGCATGGGAAACAGCCAGACCAGCCAGTTAAACATATCAGAGAAAGGTGCCCACATGGCAACTCTCACCCGACTGGCCCGCATTCGCAAAGGTCTTGAGCAGACTGGAGCCCAGTTCCAGGTAGAGTCAGGAGGTCTTCCCTGAACCTGGAAGCTCTGTGGAGTGCACTCCACAGAGCAGAAGCTCCTGACTCCCTGCAAGTGGTCCCAGCTTTTATCCCCAAGCAGACACCTGACCTTTGTCAA